AAAGGTCACTGTAATATCTTTCAGAGTTATTGTCTCAATCCCGATATACATGCTGAAAGATACAACTTCCTTAAGTTTTGTCCATGAGTGTATGTTATCTCGTGTGTCTTCAATAAAGGTCACTGTAATATCTTTCAGAGTTATTGTCTCAATCCCAATATACGTGGTAAAAGGTACAACTTCCTTAAGTTTTGTCCATGAGTGTATGTTATCTCGTGTGTCTTCAATAAAGGTCACTGTAATATCTTTCAGAGTTATTGTCTCAATCCCGATATACGTGGTAAAAGGTACAACTTCCTTAAATTTTGTCCATGAGTTCACAAAACTAGTTAGTTATTATTTTAAAGAAAGCCAGCAAATCAATTTTTATTTTTATAGAAATAAATTGGCAAAGAGAGAAATAATCCAAACTGTAAAAAAAGGAAAGTAGAAAATAAAATGGCAGGACACAAACACAAATCAATAAAATTTTCATCTTCCATTTAGTGCGATTGAAATAAATTGTTTGTTTTCTTATCTCGAAGAATGTAAAAATAAATTAAATTTGAATGAATCAGATAGAAGGAATATATTTATCTCGCGCAATTATTTCTTTAATTTAAATAGGATAGCTTTCTACAATTTATCTAGGTAAATGAAATATTGATTTTGCTTGTTCAACAGATGCACTCATGGACAAAACTTAAGGAAGTTGTACCTTTCAGCATGTATATCGGGATTGAGACAATAACTCAGAAAGATATTACAATGAGCTTTATTGAAGACACATAAGATAATCAAGTGTGAACAAAATTGCCTCTGTCTCCTTAAAAAAAAAAAAAAAAAAAGACGACCGCCGATATCAAAGACTTTTCACTTCCATAAGTATTTGTGTTGTCCATGAGTGTTCAATACAAAAAAAATATAGATTTTTGCTTTAATTATTAGGTATTGTAAAGTTTAAAATACAAGAAGTTTTTTTTTTCTTAAAATAAATAATTATTTTTTTAAATTATGGAAATTTAGAGGATTTTAGAACGAGGTTTCGGCAGTTACGCGTCATATGCTGGAAACTCTAAGCGCCGTCTTCCCAGTAAAATGTTTATCTATATATATCCATGTGAAAAAAAAAAAAGAAAACAATAGAAAAAAGTGTAGATATTAAGAACAAAAAAAAAAGACATATTCTGACAGCTCACATGACCATTCTAATGTGGTCAGGATGGATATCGCGGTCTATTACGAAGAAGAAACGGAGCACCTCCTCGGGCTACTCACGTCTGAAGACAAGATTCTTCTCGACAAATTCTTCGACATTATCATCAAACATGTTCCGAACATGAACTCTCCAAATGGAAAGGATCTGTCTAGATTCAAGGCGGCTTTAAGCTCCTGATCCGGACGTGCCCTCAGAGAGGGCTACGTCGATTGTATATATCTCTCTTCATTCCTACCATTATTATTACCTTATAACTCCCTTTGAGTGTAAAGATTGACGAGATGTCAATGAAGTTGTTTAATTGTCAAAAAAAATTGTCATGAGCATATTTAATGGTAGAGCGCCATCTAGGGTAATAAAGAATCAACTAAACGTTAATTTAATCTGTTCCCTGATAATTGGCCAACCAATTTTCTCGATAAATCAAGAAAAGTCAACCACGAACGCGTTTCGCGCTGTTGGCCCTCGTCAACGTGGTGCAAGTTATATCTCAACAATCAAAAACTTGGTCCCAGAGACTTCCAGAGAAATCAAGAAATGGGTATTTGTAGTATTTATAAACATGTGTTCCACGAATTGTTGCAGATAGTTGACAGTGTCGTAAAGAGATATTTAATATTTATTGAAAATATAAAGATACTTCTGCCAGTAAATCTTTTTTATTATCTCGACGTTTCAACAAAAATATTTTGTCCTCGTCAGGAGCAAACAAAAATTAAAACATTTAGCAAGGTGAAAAAATAGTACAAATGTGATATTGTACTGGGATAAGGTGCTTAAATTAAGAAAAAGGCATCGCCTTATATCGCACGATAAGGAGATGCCTTTTTCTTAATTTAGCAAGGTGTTAAAAATTATTCTCATAATTTTTAAAATAAATTTTTAAAGCCTTGGCAAATTTTTAATTTTTGTTTGCTCCTGACGAGGACAAAGGATTTTTGTCGAAACGTCGAGGTAATAAAAATATTTACTGGCCGAATTATCTTTATTTTCAAGAAATATGAATGCCGGCCAGGCAGGCTATATCTTTAAGAGAGATATTTCAGTTGGAGTGAACGTTGGAAGAATACGTTGTGCACGAAATAAGAGTGAGTTCTATACCCAATATAACAACGAAACCTCGTTAACCCTAATGGAGAAATTAGACATTACAATTAAATTAAAGGTTTTCATTTAAAAAAAAAGGTTTTTTTCTTCTTCTTCGCAAATGGGATTTCATTCTTATTAAACTTGTAAAAAGTAACTTTGTTTTAATGTTTTTTTGTTATTTAAGTAAAAATATCTTTCAGTATGTTAATTATATCATTAATTAATGATTCACAATTATAATTTATTATTTTATTTGATATATAGGATGCCATATCCCAGCTTGGGATACTTGCGCCTAAATACATTTTATCAACCTATATACAAATTATTTTATATACAATTCAATAACCAAGACTCAACTGTCCTGATGTGGAACTAACACCTACCTACATATTCTCATGCCAAGCGATGGCCGCAGCCTTGCAGAAAATTAACATAGACCCAGAGCAGCAGCTTTACACACCCAAGATAGTGGATATTGCTGCTGCTGTGATAGAGATGTATGGAGACATCTGAGGCTCTTCTTTGGACACGACGACAACAACAACAATAAACAAGACTAAAAACTAAATTAAAACTGTTGGTTTTCTCAAACAGAAAATCTAAAATGAATTTAGAAAAATTATTGAATTTTACATAAGTGTCTTTTACGTATTCTTAAGCGTATTTACGCAAGTTTGGCTTTAAATACCCATTTTTGGTTTTTCAGGAAGCCTCTGGGACCAAAAATCGTTTTGGTTGCAGTAATACAGCCTATTCCACGCTGACGAGCGCCAACAGCGCGAAACGCGTTCGTGGATGGCTTTTCTTGATTTATCAAGAAATTGGGTTGGCCAAATATCAGGGAACAGGTTAAATCAATGAATAGTTGATTTCTGTTCCACCAGATGGTGTTCCGCTTTCTGTAAAGCACATGTGCTCCTGGTCAGGATATGTCTACTTTGTTTTTAATAAGTGTCTTTGTTATATACAAATTTGCACATTGTATGGCATATGTATAATGGGGGGTCAGTAGAAGGATGGTCTAAACCGTTGGTTTTCAACCTCTAAGACCCGGGTTCGATTCCCGCATTGGACAATTTTTTTTCTAATTAAAAAAATATTTTTTTTTGAAAAAGGAAAAATAAATATCAGGTAAAAAGTTTTATTTTAATTTTAAATTTGCAAGTTTTCGAGCAAATATACTGTTCTTTAACGGGCTGATATTCTATGTACAATCTCTAAATAATAAATTGCCTGAGTTGAGTGAGTGACTGCGATGGATCTTGACTGCGATACCCATCTTCTCAGTAAGAATAAGAAGAAGAAAAGGTTTATAAAAAAAAATTAAATCCAAAAACACTGGCATGTAAATATTTTTTCTGTAAAAAATAAAAGAGCGCATGGAAATTAGGCAAACATATGTGTTTGCTAATGACTGCGACTGCATCTTAAACGATAAAAAAAAGAGATAAAAAAATAAAAGCCAGAACAAAAATTAATAAAAATACAAAAGCCATTATTTACACATAGTAACGTTAATGAATACTCCTCTTGCAAAAGTCCAACCCCACCAGCGAGTGCAAGTAACCAAACGAGGGCTCTGGCACATTTGTAAATACAAAAATCGAACTGCTTTTCACATGTGTAGACATGTGGTACACTTATAATAAAAAGCAGTCGCCTACTTCTAACCACCATGATTATCATGTCCTGTACCACGTGTACTAGGGATTAAAAAAATGTCTTATATGTGCCTTTTTTATTGAACGATCGCCTGTTTACAATGACAAATGTGTGACTGGAACTGACATAGTTCAACCTCCGGTGAGAGACTACCTCCAGGAGAGACCAGAGATATTTCAGAAGTTGAGACAACCTAGCATGCTCGTTTTAATAAGAAATAAAATTATTGTTAAAATATATTTTAATTGTAAGTTTATAAACACATTAACAAGTTATGAAAAAGGCATCTCCTCATCGTGCAACTGAAAGTTGCTGATGGCTTGCGCCATCTATCGGAATAAATATCAACTATTCTAGTTAATTTATAATTATTCCAGAATTGACCAAATACTCATTCTTGATTAATCAAGAAAACCTAACTACGATAAGGAGATGTATTTTTTATAATTTATGTACCTTATCCCAGTACAATATCACATTTGCACTATTGTTTCATATTAACAAGTATTTATTTAATATATACCCATTTTGAAGAAGTTTTTTTTTATTATTTTAAAAAAACATTCCTTTCGAAATAAAATTGAGGGAATATTTCAGATTTGCCATTTCGAAATCACACAGAAAACTACATTTGATTCAAACTATTAAAAATGTGATTTGAACGATGTTTTAACGGAGGTAGTTATAAAATTACGAAATATTTTCTCACAATGAGTTTATTACAAAACGCTAGCTTTCAAGTGATAATCTCTCTTCAACGGGTTTAATAAAACATCGACTATATCTTACAAGAAATATTTACCAAAACATACAGCGTGGATATCTACAACTGAAAATTCAAAATTGATATGTAATTTTACAATGTAATGGAATATATCTATTTATCTAAAGAGACAAAGGTCGCCTCTCCCGTCAAAATAGACGTCAGCTATAGATGGCGTCAGGTTTTGACGTCTATTTTGACGGGAGAGGCGATCATTGTCTCTTTAGATCATTATCCTCCCGGCAAAATTTCCATCTATATCTATTTATGTTTTTGTAAATATTTCTTGTAAGATATAGTCGATGTTTTACTAAGCCCGTTGAAGAGAGATTATCACTTGAAAGCTAGCGTTTGGTAATAAAAAAAAAAAACTCATTGTGAGAGAATATTTTGTAATTTTAAAACTTTTTTTCACAATTTTATCAGGAATGGAGGTAGTTATGTTTAGTGGAGGATTGGAAAAAGAAAATATTCACAGAAGTTCAATATATGAGAAGACATGTTAAACATTCGAAGAGAAAATTGGGAATTCCATGCAGCTCCAGGGTAAGTTGTGTATAAACTTTCTTGTGATGATTTTAGGCAACCCGACTTAGAATGTCTTGAATTATTCAAACTACGCCAACTTGTGGAATTCTTTCATTGAAAATCTTTCTCCAATACTTTTATACATTACGATTCACTAGCGAGCCATCTGTTATCAAAATTCGAAACTATTTTAGACGCGTAAGATTCTTTTTAAAATTAAACAATATCTATTGACCTTACTGGAATGGAAAAATTAATAGGAGGGCCTGGCTCATCAGTGGTGAACCCTCTCAGATCGGAAAAAAATGCAATATAACAGCGGTATGGTAGATTAAACTGGTGAAAGCGCTGAGAGGGTTCACCACTGATGAGCCAGGCACTCCCATTAATTTTTCCATTGCAGTAAGGTCAGTAGATATTGTTTAATTTAAAAAGAATCTTACGTGTCTAAAAAACAAAACTTTTATACATAGCGCGCCATCTGTAGGACAATTATGGCCTATTTTTTTTTTACTCTCTCTCATTCTTTGAAAGAGGAAAAATAAAAATAAGGTAAAATGTTACTTTTAATTTTGAATTTGCAAGCTTTCAAGCAAATATACTGTTCTTCTTCAACGGACTGATATTCTATGTACAATCTCTAAATAATATTTATACAGAATAATTGGAAAACTTTTGTTTTTGGCATGTGTTCTCGTGCATCAGACTGTTCACAGCTAAAGTAATAGATATTATTATTATCTTTTTACACATAGTACAAATAATTATAAATATAAAATATATAGGCGTTATTGTTAATATTCAAAATATTCATACCCTTATTTTACAAAATTTATTTTTGTCCATCTATATTAATAAAATGCAAATTTCATAAGTGTTGTTCGCTAAAAACTTTCGTTACAATGCATCAATTTCGACCAAATTTTCAACATTTATGTAAAACGAGATGGAGCAGGTTTTGCTTAACATCAAAATATTTTTCCTAACTTTAACATGCGTAACTTCGCTGTTATCGATTAAATACTAAAAAAAATCAACAGAGTTAATTTTATTTATATATAAATACAAAAAAAATTCAGCAATTCATTCAACTCAATCTAAAAAAATATTCAAAACAAGCAATTTTAAGATAACACCATATGTAAAACAGTCGGCCAAGAAAACAACAACGATATTACATCTTTCTCACATTTTCACACACAATCTTGATTAATAATTAAAACTAATCTTTAACATTGTTTATTAAACTTCATAATATATAATATTCGTTAGGCAAACTTTCACTCGGGTAAAACCTGGGCGGAGCCGGGTACACATCCGCTAGTAATATATATATATATCAAAAATAAAAATGGCATATCCTGACCAGGAGCACATGTGCTTTTCAGAAGGCAAAGCGCCATCTGGTGGAACAGAAATCAACTAAACATTGATTTAACCTGTTCCCTGATATTTGGCCAATGTTTAGTTGATTTCTGTTCCACCAGATGGCGCTCTGCCTTCTGTAAAGCACATGTGCTTCTGGTCAGAATATGCATTTTTATGTTTGATATCAACATCTGACCTTTTTATCTTTTATTTTTTCTTTCGTTTTTTCATATATAAATATATATATATATATATATATATATATATATATATATATATATATATAATTTTTTTCTCCCCATTGAATATAAATCAAAAATATTTTAAAACTTAATTCTATTGACGTTATGTGGCGCTGAGATTGTTGTTGACACATATTAATGTTATAATACCTTGATAAAGGTTGGAGTTCAGCCAACTGAAATATTGGTAAAATAAATGATATTTTGATCCAATATCTATATAGATAATACCGTAACAGAGTTTTCCATTGTAAAGTCCTGAGCTATCTCCTCCGAAGATTCTGAACTACACATAACAATCTATATACCAAAATTTTCGTTATTTTTTTCTTCGTGTCATAGGCCTGTTTTTATTTTCCTAATGTTAACAGTTATTTTTATTTTTTAATTTAATCTATTTTACAATCGTAGATTTTTTGCATTTATCATCATCAATCATTTGTTTTGAAATTCCGTAGAAATGTGTTTTGATTTATCTGATTATTATCTGATTAATTTGCTTATGTAAGTACTTTGTTATAGTTTTTCATTTAAATATATACATTTTTCGATTTGTAGATTGAATTATTACTTTATTCTATAATAATTATCTTTTATAACTGTTTGTTATAGTTTTTCATTTGAATTTAGCTCCATTTTTGTGTCTTATTTCTTCTGTATATTAAAAAAAATATTGAAACTTAGTTTTTCATTTAAATATATACATTTTTCGATTTGTAGATTGAATTATTACTTTATTCTATAATAATTATCTTTTATAACTGTTTGTTATAGTTTTTCATTTGAATTTAGCTCCATTTTTGTGTCTTATTTCTTCTGTATATTGAAAAAAAATATTAAAACTTAGAATTAAGCTTTGCTTTTTCATATACATGTTTGTTACACATTTAGCAATATGTATACCAAAATATTTTTTTGGATACTTAACTCTTTTAGTTAATTTTTGTCAGGGGGGCTGCAAAAGTGCCTTACTTATTTTGGAATATTTAACTTTTTTGGTGAATTTTTGTCAGGGAAGCTATGGACTGCCATAATCATTCAATATGTTGATGTTCTTCTCATAAAAAAAATATTTGGGTTTAGAATTGGGCTTTGCTTTTTTATATACATATTATTTGCACATTTTTTTTTCATCAATTGTTTCCTCACTTGCTTGGAATTTTCTTTTTATGCCTGTCCTGGCTTTCAGTTTTATAGTTTTCCTCTGCTTGGTTCTTATTTTACCTTTTTTTTTCAGCGTCTTTTTTGTATTTCTGATTAAATTAATTTGTGGGTTCTTTGTTATAGTTTTTAATTTTACATTTTGCTCAATTTTTTGTGTCTGGTTTTCTTTTTTGCCGTATCTTTCATAATTCTTTTTTGCAGTATCTTTCATAATGTCTTTGGCATCTTTATTTTTCTCAATAAGAGGCTAATTATTTATTTTTATAATCAATTGTTGATTACTTAATTTGTTATATGATAAAATGTTATATGATACATACAATTTTCTACATTTTTGCACTGTGCAATTTAATATGTTGTTTATATTGAGATCTTTTACATTAAATTTATTTTGACATGTATTTGCTCAACTTGGTTTTTGGTTTAGCTTTTTTTTTTTCAGCGGCTTCTGTATCATGCCTCGCAGAGGCCGTGGAAGACTCGCTTATAGGACTCGCCGCGGGAACAACGCCCCTAATCCTATTTCTCCTGTTCCCACTGAATATATTATTGGGGGCCTCGATATAGTCTGCCCTTACTGCTCAGCCCTTCATTTCCCTGGCGAAACTGTTGGTAGCTCCTGCTGCCACAAAGGGAAAGTTATTCTTCCTACTTTGTCCTCCTTTCCATATGAAATGATGGAATTGATGACTTCAAACAGTGTGGAGGCTAAGTACTTCCAGACCAACATTCGGAGCTACAACAGCTCTTTGGCATTTGCCTCCATGGGTGCGCAGGTTGATGTCTTTTCTGGACAGGGGCCTTTTTGTTATAGAATCCATGGACAGATCTATCATTTGACTGGGCCCCTTCATCCTCATGGAAACAGAGCCCCGTCTTATGCCCAACTTTATATTTTGGATTCTGAGGCTGCGAATAATACACGCATTGCAGCATCTAGGCCTTTGGAATGCCATCCTGGTATATTGACTCTTTTGGATTCTGTGCTTAGGCGTGTGAATCCGTATACTTCTGCTTATAGGCAGATGCACCAGGTGGAACTAGCTGAGGAACACCGGGCTCGCATTGAGAACCGGCAAATGTGTCAGGTTCAGATGCTCATCCGGCAAAATCATTGTAGAGATCTTCGCCGATATAATGCCCCAAGTGTAAGTGAAGTTGCGGCCATTTTTGTTGATCAAGATGGCCATGTACCTTCTAACAGAGATATTGCTGTTTTTCCGCATGATTGTGGTTTAGTGCGTATTTCTCCACTTAATCCTAACTGTGACCCAATGACATACCCTCTTTTATTTCCTGCCGGTGATACAGAAATGTATAGGTCCCTTACACCAGATCAAAAGTCAATTGTTGACACAATTGTTGATTCCCTCAATGTAAATCCACGTTGCTTTTTTATTGGTGGGCCTGGTGGTACGGGCAAGACTTATGTTTATAACACCCTAATTCATTGTGTTAGAGCCGTTGGAAAAATTGTCATTCCGCTGGCCTCCACTGGAATAGCGGCTACCCTTTTGTCAGGTGGCCAGACTGTCCATTCCAGGTTTAAGCTGCCGATTCCCTTGCTTGAGAATTCTGTAGCTGCGATCTCGGCCAATAGTTCTGAGGCTGAGCTTATTCGTAGATCATCCTTAATTATTTGGGATGAGGCTCCTATGGCCCACTACAGAGCACTTGAAATTGTGGATCGTCTCCTAAAGGACATTATGCATTGTGACCTTGCTTTTGGCGGAAAGGTTGTTGTTCTTGGAGGTGACTTTCGCCAAGTGCTACCTGTGGTACCTCGAGCTTCAAGAGCTGAAATTGTTGCTGCTTGCATTAAGCAAAGCAAGCTATGGCCATTGTTTGTGATCTTGCGCCTTACTCAGAATATGCGAGCAGGTATTGATGCACAGAGCTTCTCTCAATGGTTACTTAAAGTTGGTGATGGTAATCTACCTACAGACCAACAGGGCCTCATTTCTCTTCCAGAAAGCTGTATCTTTCATGGGGTTGACCTGGTGCAGGAAATATTTGGTTCTTCCTATGGTGATATTACCGCCCTTAGCCAGTCTGTGATTTTAACGCCAAAAAACACAGATTCATTAGAGATTAATGAAAAAGTTTTGGATCGCTTACCAAACAGGAGTCAGTGTTTTCTCAGTGTTGACAGTGTCGAGTGTGAGAATGTGGAGGAACAAAATAATTACCCTACTGAATTCCTTAATAGCCTTACTCCCACAGGAATGCCTCCACACCGGTTAAACCTTAAGATTGGTGCTATTGTTATGCTCCTTAGAAATTTGAATCCTAAGCAGGGTCTCTGCAATGGCACACGTATGGTTATCCAGCGCATGCGCTCTCATGTCCTAGAAGCACAAATACTGACAGGGACCAAAGTTGGACAAACTGTATTGGTGCCAAAAATATCTTTGGCTCCTTCAGATACCAACCTTCCCTTCATTCTGAAGAGGCGTCAGTTTCCACTAAGGTTGGCTTTTGCCATGACTATTAATAAGGCTCAAGGCCAAACCTTTGCTAGAGTGGGTCTCTTGCTACATGAGCCCGTGTTTACTCATGGACAGCTCTATGTGGCTTTTTCACGTGTGCGAACTTTGAATAGCATACGGGTAAAGTTGAACCCACGTATTTATAAAACTAGAAATATAGTTTTTAATGAGGTCCTTTAAATGAATTTTTCCTTTTTATGTTGTCTTATCTGCTATATAGTTGTGTTGTATTCAATTTTATTTTCAGATTTGTTTTCTTTTAATTTTTTTTTTCATTTCAAATAAATGAATGTATGCCTTTTATGTTGTCTAATTTGGTTTATTGTTGTGTTGTATTTAATTTTCTTTTAAGATTTGTTTTCTTTTACTTTTTGTTTCATTTCCAAAAAATTTGTTTAAAGTTTCACCAATGCCTATAAACAAAAGGTAATAAGACCAAATCCAAATAAATAAATAGTGTGTGACGTTTCGGTAACAGCGTTGTTACCATCTTCAGACAAAAGTACTATGGCCTACGGCCATACCACGTTGAAAACACCGGTTCTCGTCCGATCACCGAAGTTAAGCAACGTCGGGCTCGGTCAGTACTTGGGAGGGTGACCACCTGGGAACACCGGGTGCTGTAGGCTCCTTTTTTCCATTCAGTACTTTTGTCTGAAGATGGTAACAACGCTGTTACCGAAACGTCACACACTATTTATTTATTTGGATATTTATTTCAAATAAATGAATGTATGCCTTTTATGTTGTCTAATTTGGTATATTGTTGTGTTGTATTTAATTTTCTTTTAAGATTTGTTTTCTTTTACTTTTTGTTTCATTTCCAAAAAATTTGTTTAAAGTTTCACCAATGCCTATAAACAAAAGGTAATAAGACCAAATCCAAATAAATAAATAGTGTGTGACGTTTCGGTAACAGCGTTGTTTCCATCTTCTGACAAAAGTACTATGGCCTACGGCCATACCACGTTGAAAACACCGGTTCTCGTCCGACCACCGAAGTTAAGCAACGTCGGGCTCGGTCAGTACTTGGGAGGGTGACCACCTGGGAACACCGGGTGCTGTAGGCTCCTTTTTTCCATTCAGTACTTTTGTCTGAAGATGGTAACAATGCTGTTACCGAAACGTCACACACTATTTATATATTTGGATTTGGTCTTATTACCTTTTGTTTATAATCTACAATCCAAATTGTGCCTCATCAACCAATGCCTATAGTTTCTCACACCTCCCATGCTTACCCCTCTGTAACTGGCCTGTGGTGCAGTGGACATTGTTGGGAGGTACAGTAAACTCTCTACACGATTGTATCAAGTCTTGTTCTGGTAGACTTGATGCTGTAACCAGGAGGGACACTCCCTCTTTAAAAATCCTGAGTTCAACTGACCCAGTTGATGGACCTCAGCAATGGTTCCACTCCAGGGATACGGAGGAGCTGCGTCTGTGCTCATGTTAGAGTCAGAAACAAAGGCTTCCATATTTGGAATGGCCTCAAATCACAGGCAAAGTCAGACTTTCACCAAAGTGTGCCTGGATCATGGTGCCATGATCAACGAAAGCTGCACCCCTATACCCCATTCCATGAGATCATGGAATTCGTGTAATCTTTACACAAGGGGATAAGAAACATCAACAACATAGTTTCTCACCTGAAAGGATTTTTTTGTATTAGTTGTTCACTAATAAAATATTTATAATTAAGTATTTTGATTTTTGGTCTTTATTTACCTATTTTCCCCAGTGCTCTATACATTGATTCAGGATCTATGCAATGTCTCACATATGGTTATCTAGCGCTTCACATGTTTTTAGGCTAAACCCGGGGCGTTGCCGGGTCACTCGGCTAGAAATAATGGCTGTATTTGCTATATAGTTGTGTTGTATTGAATTTTCTTTTAATATTTGTTTTCTTTTTTTTTTTTCAATATAATTTTTTAAAGTTTTCACCAATGCCTATAGTTTCTCACCTGAAAGCAATTTTTTGTATTATTTGTTCATTCATAAAATATTTATTATTATTTTGACTTTTGGTCGGTGGAAGGCTGGGTAAACCGTTTGGTTTTCGACCACTAGGACCCGGGTTCGATTCCCGCATTGGGCACTTTTTTCTGTTTAAAAAAAAAAAAAATGCTCCAATGGCCCCCGATTCTTGCAAAAGTCCAACCCCACCAGCGAGTGCAAGTAACCGAACGGGGCTCTGGCATTTGTAAGTGCAAAGTCAAACTGCTTTTCACATGTGTAGACATGTGGTGCGCTTACAGTAAAAGCAGTCGCTAACTACCCACCATGATTATCATGGCCTGTACCACGTGTACTAGGGATAAGCAAAAAAAAAAAAAAACCTATTTTCCCCAGTGCTCTATACATTGATTTAGGATCTTTGCAATGGCACACATATGGTTATCCTGCCCATTCACAGGCCTTTAGGGTAAACCTGGGGCTTTGCCCAGGTCACTCGGCTAGAAATGCAGTTTTTAGTGAGGTCCATTAAATGAATTTATCCCTTTTATGTTATCTTATTTTCTATATTGAAAAGTTAATAAATATGAAAAAAAAATTAAAAATGTTTAAGAATATTATTAAAAAAGAATCATAAAGATATTTTAAAGGAGTCCTTTAGGGATGTCTGTTTTTGCACTTATGATTCCAGAGTTACATGGTCCAGTGGGCCGTATGAAAATCGAGTTGTTCATATAATAACATGTTTAAAAAATGATATTTTCTTTTAATGTAATCTATATAGCTTGAAATAAATAAAAATAATGGCTGCTTGAACTCGGTCGCATGTGACATTTTACAGGTACATTGGGACAGCTGACATTCCCCCCCAACCCAACCCACTGATAAATAGGCAAGAAGGTATGGGAAAAGATCCCAGTAGACGCGAATTCGCGTTGGTAGCCTACAATTTTATGTTAATTTTTAGAAATCAGGGACATGAATTCGCATCCTTTAGGCTTGACACCCTATAAGTGAGGATATGAATTTGCATTATATGGGTTCAAAATGTTTCGTTGCTCGCATCTATAATACCTTTTTTTTAGTAAAGTTGTAAGTAAACATCAATCGTCGAAATTTGCATTTTAAAATGGTTGAATTATCAGAAGTGGTGAATAATTAATATTGTCGAATTACCGTTTGTTATTTGATAGGCCAGAGATTGGGAAATCAAATCAAGGTCGAATTATCGCAAGGGGTCGAATTATCGGTATTGTCGAATTACTGTTTGTAATTTCATAGGTTCTGGAAATCAAAACATGGTCGAATTAACGAATTTATACTTAGAAAGTATTTTTACTTATCCTTACTTGAAATGCTGCTTCTAGGAAATCTGAATATACCCATTGCGATTTTTAAGCCACCATCTATACTTTTAAAGTCTCTGCAGGCCCTTTGGGTAAACCCTGGGCGTTGCCCGGGTCACTCGGCTAGTATGCCTTTTTAATTAAATATATTATACTGGGATGAAATATTCAGTAATTAATCCTTATTTATTCAATTCTGTGTATTTAACTTTATATAATATTATATGAACTATGTAATAAATCAGTTTCAATCTCAATATACACCCATACCTCGCTTTGCGTCAGGGTTACGCGTTTGTTTTTGTAAATATTTCTGGTGGGATAAAGTCGATATTATAGTAAGCCAGTTGAAGAGCGATTAACGCTTGAAAGCTAGCGTTTTTTAAATAAAAAAGATACTCATTGTGAGAATATATATTTGTAATGTATTATAGATATCTGTTTGGGTATTTCTGTAAGGAAAGATAGGGACGGAAAAGTTATCTCTGGTAGAGGAGGCTAATTTTCTCCAGTCCCAGCGGAGCTATGCATCCAGCGAACATAGCAATTTCCCTCAGGCTTAATACAGCGGCTGTGTGGAGATTTGTATATGGGGCAGGTATAACATATATTCCTTGTGGAATACATAACATATATTCTAAGATTATAATTCTATTTATGTTGAATATTTATATATATATATATATATTTAATTAAAAAGACATATATTGGATCAAAATATATTTTATTTCACCAATATTTCAGTTGGCTGAACGCCAACCTTTAACAAGGTATTATAACATTTATAACAGCCAACCGAAATATATGCCTTTTTATTATCTAATATATATATATATATATATATATATATATATATATATATATATATATATATATATTTCCCCTACATATATGTGTGTTTTTTTCTTCAAATAATTTTTTAATTCTTTAAATATTTGTTTTTGACTCGTGCTTTAGATGTTGTACAAAATTTCGAATACCGCGTGAGAACGCCCTTGCAGCCTTAGAATAATTTCTAACGCTTTGTCTAATGTTTTAATTTTTGTTTGCTCATGACGAGGACAAAAGATTTTTGTCGAAACGTCGAGACAATAAAAAAGATTTACTGGTCGAAGTGTCTTTTATTTGAATAAATATGAATGCCGGCCAGGCAGCCTCTATCTTTATGATATATGTGTGTGTACAAATTTGCATATTTTAGTGCAATATGTTGTTGCTTATTCCTCAAGTCGTTTTAAACAATCTCCATTAAATTATAAAACTATTTTAGAGGCGTAATATTCTTTTTTAAAATAAAGCAATTTCTACTGTCCTTACTGCGATGGAAAAATTAAAGGGAGGGCCTGGCTCATCAGTGGTGAACCCTCCCAGCGGTTTCGCCAGTAAGTTCCATTGTCTCAGATTTTCTATTATAGTACTGGGGTTTTCCCAGAGGTCTCGGAGTGCAAAATATAGAGAGAGGAAAATGTAGTTTTGTAGGGAAGGGGGGTAAATGGAGATGAAATAGAATGGATTTGATCGGGGGCAGGTGATGGATTAGAGCCCCTCGTCGGTCCACAGAAAACAAAATTACTCTCGTCCCCAGTGATTCATCGCTTTTGGGGTGATTCACGGGACGTGGGGCTGTCTGACCCTCTGTCTAGACACAGTCTGACAGTCCGCATGGTGAATTTTGTTTATTAGAAAGAAGTGTCTAATGCGGGATTTTATCCCGAGTCGTAGCTGTCGAAATACGACAATTTCAACCAATCGTCCACTGAACTCCTTTTGTTTCTTAATAAAAATCAACTTCACAATCAAATGACTTAATAATATCATTTATATTACGATGCACTAGCGCTCCATCTGTTATGAAAATTAGAAACTATTTTAGACACGTAAAATTCTTTTTGAAATTAAACAATATAACAGCGGTATTATTAATCTAAAACTGACGAAACCGCTGGAAGGGTTCACCACTGATGAGCCAGGCGCTCCCATTGATTTTTCCATTGCAGTAAGAAGAGTAGAAATTGTTTAATTAAAAAAAGAATCTTACGTGTCTAAAATAGTTTCGAATTTTCTTAATACTATCAATAAGCAATACAGAAGTTAAGTTTCTTGTACCATTTACATTTCTCTAACTTTGGGACTAACATGCTCTGTAACAGGAGAACCTAGAAGTATAACTTCCAGTTAAACTATACATGTATCATTATAAGTCAGGAGATGAACATCTATTGTCAATCAAATGTCTCTTACAATGATTGAAACAGGAGTTAAGTTCCAGGGTTTAAGTGTCTTTTACCATCTTTTTCTCTCAAGATTTCAGGTTAACATTCTCTTCAACAGGAGTACCCAGAAGTATAACATCCAGGTAACTATACATGCCTTATTATAAGTCAGGAGATGAAGGTTTATTGTCAATTAAATGACTGTTACGATGATAGAAACAGGAGCTAAGTTTCTCGCACCATCTTATTCTCTCAAGCTTTAGGACTAACATGGCCCTTCAACAGGAGTACCCAGAAGTATAACATCCATCTAACTATACATGCCTTATTATAAGTCAGGAGATGAAGGTTTATTGTCAATTAAATGACTGTTACGATGATAGAAACAGGAGCTAAGTTTCTCGCACCATCTTATTCTCTCAAGCTTTAGGACTAACATGGCCCTTCAACAGGAGTACCCAGAAGTATAACATCCATCTAACTATACATGCCTTATTATAAGTCAGGAGATGAAGGTTTATTGTCAATTAAATGACTGTTACGATGATAGAAACAGGAGCTAAGTTTCTCGCACCATCTTATTCTCTCAAGCTTTAGGACTAACATGGCCCTTCAACAGGAGTACCTAGGAGTATAACTTCCAGTTAATTATACATGCCTTATTATAAGTCAGGAGATGAAGGTTTATTGTCCATTAAATGACTGTTACGATGATAGAAACAGGAGCTAAGTTTCTCGCACCATCTTATTCTCTCAAGCTTTAGGACTAACATGGCCCTTCAACAGGAGTACCCAGAAGTATAACATCCATCTAACTATACATGCCTTATTATAAGTCAGGATATGAAGGTTTATTGTCCATTAAATGACTGTTACGATGATAGAAACAGGAGCTAAGTTTCTCGCACCATCTTATTCTCTCAAGCTTTAGGACTAACATGGCCCTTCAACAGGAGTACCTAGGAGTATAACTTCCAGTTAACTATACATGCCTTATTATAAGTCAGGATATGAAGGTTTATTGTCCATTAAATGACTGTTACGATGATAGAAACAGGAGTTTCTCGCACCATCTTATTCTCTCAAGCTTTAGGACTAACATGGCCCTTCAACAGGAGCACCTAGGAGTATAACTTCCAGTTAACTATACACGCATCAGGAGCTGAACCGTTTTTTTTTTTCAATCAAAGACTGCTGCAATGATGGAAACAGGAGTTGAGTTCCTTGCGCCGTTTTCATTTCTCTAGTTTTCGAGATAACA